GGTAGCGAATGAAGAGGACAAAACGATGGTGTGCGAGGAGCCCGATAATTATCTTTTCTACACTGGGTTTACCGTGGGTCAGCGCGCGATCCGCGAGATTGGTCTACGTGCGGCCAGAAGGCTCTTAGATCAGGTCGAAGAGAGTTCGAAGTGGAAAGAGAAGGCCAGGATGCGTAAGGGTAGCGGACGGCAAGGCGGTGGACGTAAAACGGGCATCTACACTTGAGTTGGGGATGAGTATGGGATGTCTGCCTGTGTGGTCTGGCTGATAGTTCCACGTTCGCGCCCCCTAACTTTAGCTTGTGTGTGCACTACGAACGAAAATTAAAGCCTCGGTCTTGTATAATTAGTAGAGGATATGTGTCGTGGAAGGTATAAATACCGCTATTGCCAATAGCGTAATAACCGTTGGAAGGGTATGATCCGCTTATGTGAGAGCCTTACTTAGCAACCCGACAGATTGGAAGGGTGAACCAGCTAAGTAATCGGACGTAGATGGAAGAGGGATATGGATAGGTAGGCTTAATGCTAGTCATTTCAGGCAAGCTTGGTGCGCGTCGAAACTTCTTAGAATAGACAAAGCCCGAACCCACGGAAGGACAAATCAAGAAAGCATCACCTGCCCCAACGACAGATCCTGAGCGAGCTGTTCGCCCTTTCTCAACCGCCAATCTATCCTTCCTTGTTTGCCGTGTTGCCTCTCATTCCACGGTCCAACGTCACTTACATTTCTAACATAGTAGTCACCATGGAAATGCAGGAGATCGTATCGTCTAGCTCATCGATTTCTAACGCCCGTTTTTTCCACTATCTAACGTCTGATTTGTACATCTCTCGCCATTCTTCCTTACCAATAGCTAGCAGATTCATGATCAAAGAAGCATCAGCCATCTATTTTACAATCCATCAGCACCTCAACCAGCTCCAGCTAAGGGAACGTCTTCGGTCGTTATGGACGAGTGGACCTTTTGGGCATCAATATCATAAGGAACCTGCTCAAAAGAGCACTGTACTCTCTAGTCGCATTTGTTGTAAGTCTTGACTATTCCACTCAGGACTCTATTCATTCCTAACAATGACATAAGGAAAGCGAGTGTCTCACAAGATGGTTGTCCAATGCAACTGGAGTGTCAGGTGGCTCAACAAGCCGGTCCCATATATCCTCCGGTGGTTTGGCAGTGGCTGCGACGAAGTCTACATCACTGTCGCCTTGCACTCAGCAGTCGGAAATCAGCCTTACTCCATACTCTTTTTGAAAAAGGGGGGTCCCTTCGCTGTGCCTGATCTTGTACCTGCTTCTGAGCCTACTCTTGAGCTTTCTCATAAACCTACTCCTGCTCCCGAACCTGTTCCTGTGCCTGCACCCCCCAACCCCGATGGTGGTCGCCAGCGCCGAGTATTGGAAGGGCAGGATAAATGGTACCTGCCAGGCGGGATATGCCGGGATAAAGATCGAAACCTATTCGATTGGCTCTGGGCGGATATTCATGAGAAATTGTACGTGCTTTGATCTCTGTTCTCCCTTGGCTATATTCACAGGTTAATCAGTGGCAGGGGTCTCTCCATCATAGAAATCACAGATCTAATCGACTCCGCGGTTATAATTATTGATAACGAAAACGGCGAAGGCGAAAGAAAGATTCTTGCCCTGACAGTTGGAGCCAGACATGTACGAGACACCCCAACCCCCGGATACACTATGTCTGGTTTCTCCGAACACCGCTGGTTTGGACAGACAGTTATTGTCGACGAAGAGTTTCCGATGAGGAAATGTGATCAGTTGCGTCGACATCTTCAGAGCCATCTGATGCGTCTAGAAACAGCCCGTGGTGGTGGCCGCAGATTTCCTAGACTTCCAATGCTCGCTTCGTTAACGGGGCTCTTTCCAAAGTTTCGTTAGGTGGCCAGCCACGTATTCAACATTAGCAACAATAGTCGTATAGCGCGGTAGCGATTGGGGGTAGATATTGTAATCTTGTTATATCAGCGTCTGCAACTCAATCATCCAAGAATGCCAGAGTTGTTACCTGAGCTAGCCCATCAATCATGTCTCAAAAATCAGATACATCAGTTATTATGAAACCATGCAACCACTGGTAGACAAAGAGCGTAGATATATTGAGCTCGTTCACTTCTGTGATGCTCCAGGAAATGGTTTGGCAGGTTAGCTACTATCTATGCTGTGGATTAGCTGCCGCAACCCCTGCCACCCCCTGAGTACCGACCCTGTGACCCTGTGATACCGCCGAATAATCTTATCTGTTTGCCTGTGGCACCGCCTGTAGACCGCCTCGTTCATTGAGCCCCACCCTTGTTGCCCGTTAGTAGTATTCAACAGCAGCAGATATAACATATCGTCCTTCCCTTCACTACATGTTGGTTTTATTGATTGAGTGTTCTCTGTTTTACAGAAGAGTTTCTTACGTCGATTTCCTGAGTTTCACGTCTTTTACCACTCTCTCACCTGTGCGTCACCAACACTCACTCTGCTTGCTACCCGTTGCACGGACGCTTTGAGATCAGCTTCGCTCAAGCAGTGATCGATCAAATCAGTAGGACCCTGGCAGATCTCATGACTTCTATCCATTCTTTAATCGCCCCCTATCTCCAGCTTTCTGCAGCTCTCCATTTCTCTAGGACCGACCTATCTCCCTCTACGCCATGTCCGGAATATTGACCGATAAGGAAATCGATGATGCTTCAAAGAAGCTAGCTGCATTTCGTGCAGCCAGTGCAGAGGAGGACTTCCTCCAACGCTACGCCGATCTTTTGAATAGCTACAAGCAGCTGAAGAGTGACTTTGAAGAAGAGAAAGTCAACCGAGAGCGCTACAAGCAGCTCGCCCGTACCCAGGAACGAAACCCCTTCGTGCTGGTTCTCATTGATGGAGACGGATACGTTTTTGGAGATGAATTTCTTCGTATGGGTGCCGATGGAGGCTCGCGGCTGGCTCAACATTTGCACGACGTAATTAAGCAAAGCGTCCGCAAGAAAGGCCTAGATAATTGCGATATAATGGTTCGCATCTACGCTAATCTCGCAAACCTGTCCCGAACTCTGTCCAAACATAGCCTTGCAACCCCCGATAAGCGATCTCTTGCCCCCTTTGTGGCCAACTTCAACCGATCATATGGCCTGATGGATTTCGTTGATGCCGGCGAGCTTAAGGAAAATGCCGACTTTAAGATACGTGCTCTATTAAATCTATATGCCGAGAATGCCCAGTGCAAACACATCTATGCTGCGTTGTGCCATGACGTTGGCTATCTCGGAGAAATGACCAAGTTCAGAGGAAACCGGGACAGATTTACACTAATACGATCATCTGGTCTTCTTTTTCACGACCAGTTCCTAAAACTGGATTTGGAAATCGAAGAATTGCGAGGCGTCTTTCGTACATTACCGCTCGAATCTAGTTCAAGCGCCGATCTAATGAAGACAGCTCCTTCAACAAGCCCATCTGTTGCGACCGATACGGCTCATCGTGGTACCGGTTCACGAGAATCCCAGAAAATATGCCAGTTTTACCCGATTGGCAAGTGTCGATTCGGAAGGGAATGCATCAACGCCCATATAGATGTTAGGATTCCGGCCAACCCAACCAAGACCCTTTATACTTCTCAAGCCGGCCAATATAGTAATCTTGATAACGACGTCTCGAGCAGTTCTGGTCGTGTGAAGTCACCAGGTACTTCATCGCTGTTCAGATTTGACAACGGGGCCGATCCTGCAAATCAACTACCAAAGAAGAGTGAAATACCGGACGGCCATGTGGCTGTAAATAAGAACTCCCATCGCCTAGATCCATACATCCCATCCCCCAGCTCGGTGGCTTCTTCAAGACTCAGGGAACTATCTAGCGTTAGAAGGTTCTGCAACAGCAAACAACTCACAAATTCATGCGCCGACGAAAACTGCAGATACGAGCATAAGCCGCTCCCAGAAGAACTACTCCCAGCGCTAGAATGGCTATCGCGTTCGCTACCTTGTAACAGTCGAGGTTCCTGCAGAGATCAGAACTGCGTTCAAGGCCATATGTGCCAGAACATGGAATGTCACCACCGTGGTGGCAAAATCAAATGCAAGCTGTCAGTATATGCACACGGAGATCTGACAGTAGATCACTACGTCCCTGCTAATGGGGACAACACGAATAATACCACAAACAGCCATACCCCACTCACAGCCTCACCCTTGAGCAGCCATGTGAATCAAGTTCCCAATGAAGAACTCCTTTGGGACTTTTCCTAGTTCGACACGGCCGCTAGCTTAGAAGGAAGTAGAAGTGGAAAATCAGACGAGAATACTCCCCTATCAACTGCGAATTTCGACTAGTTTCCCAGTCCCTAATGGATCATGGATGGCTATGGAATTTGCTTTCGCAGTCTTACCTTGCGGTAAAGATATAATAATGTCTTTTACCGTAGGGTATGGTATATGCGCTGGTATGTTGACGAATGTACTAATTTCGCCAAATCCAGCATACCTAGAATCTCAGCCTCCCTAATAATGGAGGAAATTGTTATACGAATGTCTTAAAAACAACTGGAAGCTATCAATTAGCTTTATATCACATGTGCAAGGACCGAAAAATGGGGTTAGATGTGTGAGGGAAGCAATGAGGCTTCACCAAAGTGTGCGCTCTCAATAATACAATCCGAAATACACTGTACCTGCCCTGTCTTGTCCTGCGACCGCAATCGTATGAGGAATCTCGTGAATTACCATGTCCACCTGTTCATACTGTAATGTGCTACCCAAAACCCATCATTATCTGTGAATATTATTCATGATAACGGCGAGCTGTTGGCCCCTTTGAATGCCAAGGCCTTCTCATCCACGAATTCTGTCGTCCCGTTCTCGGCTAAAGATGCCCCGAGCAAATAAATCCAGGCTTTGGCTTGGCTTGGCATGTTCACTACCACAAATCATAGACATAATCAGCAAATTCTTGTACAGCATCCACCAACCACAAGCGCGACAAGCGTCAATGTGGAACAGGCCTCGTGGCCCAATGGCAAGGCGTCTGACTACGAGACAGAGTCAATCAATCCACGATTGACTGACTCTTCACGATAATCAGGAGATTCTGGGTTCGACCCCCAGCGAGGTCATCGAAATAGAAAGCATTAACTTTTTTCTTTTTACTTTTTTGCCTTTACAAAGGCAAATTGGCCCAAGCCTATCGGGCGGGTTCAACAGTTCAATGCTGATGACCCCTTTGCCCTTCAATTCATCGCTGTTGGAAACTGCTATTTGTTGCTGTATTTCACTGAAACGATGCGTCATGTTGAAGTAGGAGAGGATGCTATGAGTGTTTAAGATTAATAGTAGGGCTGCGTGCTGCTGCCAACGTAATAGTATCTGGAGCGAAGCCTTAAGTCGGAGAATACGTGCTCTTACAAAGAGCGTTTGCAAGGGCTATTGCGTTATATGGGTGGACTATGCACCCGTTGTCGCTTATAAGCTAATTCTAGATGTAAGGCTGCCTAGTATTTTTGCAGCTAGTTATACCAAAACAGGAACGGATGCTGAAAAACGGGAAGCGGTTTGGACAGAAGCTTTTGATGTCGTCCCCTTCGAGGAGATCCCATTTTCCCGTGTCAAGACCAACCTGAAGTTGGCGGACATGAGGACTCGGGTTGAGTCCCTTGAACGGGTAACAAGGATGGAGGAGTCAAATGGCCCCATCATCCCAGTTGAAGACTTCCCGAGCGTCGAGCAGGCTGACCAACCTAGCCACAAAAACATTCAGTTAATCCGGGACTCCAACAAGACAGGCCTTTTGAGGTCACCTGGGTGGTGGTGACAGCATTCCTGGATCGACAAGACTCAAAAAATCACCTGTATCCCCCGGAAAGGATGATACCTTTGACTGTAAATGTTGAGGTGGTGTACCCCAGTCATGAAATTGTTTGGCCCGAGTAACTATGATTGGGGAGAGCAGGTGATTCCGCCCCGGGTCTTACAGCCTTACTTTTGCAGCTTATGGAGCCTTCGCGATAGCTTTTGCGCAATAGCTCTCGCAGTAGCCTTTGCAGTAGCCCTCGTAATAGGCCTTATAAAGGTAGCTTACCCTTACAATGGCCCTTGCAATAGCTTTTATAGGGGGCTAGTGCTATATTTATAGTGGACTTAGTGGCTTATCCCGCTATAGTTATAGCGGCCAGTGGTTTGGCGGAAGTGGCACCAATGGCCCTCCATTCACGCGGGCGACAATCTGCAGTCTGCAACATCTACATCCAAGAGATGAGTGAGCAGCCGCAAGATTGATGAGTTCGCCGCTTGAACAACAGCAGTCCTCTGAGTCAACCCCGGTTTCAGTCGGTGTAAGCTCAATTTAAGTTATGACGCTGCGAGATCTTACTCAATCCATCCAAGCAGTTGTTGTCAGTTCTTCAACCTATCATCGCCCTGAAAGTTGCAGGTCGAGAAATCCAACGCTTATACGATGTATCTATTATACGCACATCGTACGGTGTATATACAATTACATGTGAACTACCATATACTCGAATCTGTCATTTGATGAAACTTTACCTGTCGTCATGTGTGACTAATGCTGCCCAGCAATCAATCTGACTTGCAGTGTCCTTGCCGGTGACTCATTTCACCGATGAATAGATGTCAACAAATATGTACTCCATTTTAAGTGAACTATTTGAGCAGTCCTTTTTCATCAAACGAAATTGAGTTTATGAATGAGCTCACAGTCAGTAGGCCTCAGCCATCCGACAGCTTGCGATACACTTCTCGAAAAAGTTTTGGAAAAGTTTGGACGACCATCCAGCCATGGATCTTATTCACTCTCCAGACTTCCCTGCACACGTGGAGAAGCTCATGAAAAAGCACCACGTACCTGGTCTTGCTATCGCAGTCATTCAAGACGAGCGTACATTCTCGGCAGGGTACGGTTTCGCATCGCTTGATCCGCCAAAGCCATGCACCGAAGACACTCTTTTCGACATCGCATCCTCTTCAAAGTCGCTGACGGCCGCATCAGTTGGTTTACTGGTCCGTGACGACGAAAAGTATCCCGACGTGCAATATGATGCAATCATGTCAAAGCTGCTACCTGAAGATTTCGTCCTGTCAGGCCAGGGATATACGGAAGGGGTCACAGTCGAGGATATCCTTAGTCATAGGACAGGTATGCCTCGGTAAGTAGATTACAGAAATACACTTAGACGATGGTTGAGGCTGACGCTTATAGTCACGACGACTCATATCTGGGTGTGCTAGCCGCAAAGCCAGATGATGCGAGATCTGTCACGAGAAACTTACGAAACCTAGAGATGACCGCCCCAATCCGATCAAAGTACATGTATAACAATATTATGTATACAGTTGCGACATATCTTGTTGAAAAGAAGAGCGGGCTCACTTTTGCCGATTTCCTACAAGAACACTTCTTTGGACCCTTAGGAATGTCATCAACTCATCTCCAACCGGAACGTGCTAAATCATTCGGTCTTGGTGATCGGATAGCTACCGGGTATGCCTGGGATAAGAAGGATGAGCGTTATGTTGGCTTCGGGGCTTGGGATTGTCCTGACAGTCAAGGAGCTGGCTCCATTATCACGAGCGTAAATGACTTCATCAAATGGGTAAAAGCGTTGATGAACCGCGAACATCCAATCGATGAGGAGGTCTACAAAGGGCTTACTAAAATGCGAACTATCACATCCCCTGAGGACAGCGACGCAGAGCCGTTTACTTCGCCAATATTCTACACTGCTGGCTTGGAGATATTCTACTACCGAGGCTATATGGTTATTGGCCACGACGGCGGTATAGATGGATTCGGCAGTCGGTTCTTCTTCGTACCCGACTTTAAACTCGGGGGCGCCATATTCGGGAACTCAGACGATGCAGGAGACGTCGCCACGATCCTGTCTCGGGAGTTGATCGACGAAGTCTTGGGTGTGCCGATATCAGAACGGCCGGATTGGAGCAAAATAAAGGAAGACGAGAACCAGAAATATGAGGATGACCCGAAGCAAGAGGAGCTGCGACGCGTCTTGCGCGAAGAGGCAGAGCCGCAGAAGATGCCGCTAAGTGCGTACACAGGCGAGTATTGGAACCCCGGCTACAAAGGAGTAACTGTGGAGGTGAAGGATGGCAAACTCTTTATTGATGGAAGCGATCGGTCCATGGGCTTCCTCCTGAGTTTCGATCATGCGCGTGGGCAAACGGAATACATCGGAAACTGTAGCAGCTTCTTCTCGGGTGACAGCTATCTCATCGAGGCGAAATTTATGTTCCTAAATGATAGGGCCATTAAGGTAGGATTGCAGTTGGACGGTGAGATTTTCATTTGGTTTGATAGAGTGAAGAATGGCTGAGCTATGTATTAAATAATAGATCTGTTAAGGCATGGTTTTAGAAGAGACCTGCTTTAAGACCTACTCTGAAGCTTCAAGATATTTATTGAGTTGAGAATATGATGAAATTCTATCCTCGACTATGCTTAATTGTGATTTGGTGTCGAGATGTGTCTTAGGAATTGGGGTTCTCGGAGGTTTGCACACCGAACGAGAAATTATAATGAACCCCGCAACCCCGCACTGCACAACAGCCCCTCTTGTTGTAGGTAACTTAGCTGTTCGAATAGCCTCCATATCAAGAAGCACATGTGGTAATTTAAGTATCCGTCAAACCACGATGTATCATGCCGGCAGTGATATATCCTCAATGGCACGTAAATCCGGGGGTGGGGTCTATGTGAATCTGGCATGTCACTGCCTAAATAGGCCTTGTTGTATCGCTGTTTCCGACAACCCCTCCTCGTATACCTTCCCCTCGAATATTGTTGGCATCACGTAAAGTTAAGTAGTAAATGAGTGCGCTTCAGCTACCGATTCGACGTTGTCCTACGCACACAAGGTTGCCGGGAACCCACCTCTGATTCTTCAGTATTCAAGATCATGATGAAAAAACAGTAAACACGACACGATGGCTCGCTCGCGACATGATTTAAGCCATGGATGGCAATTCAGAGAGTACGACGGCGGCTCATCGAATGAAAAACCTTGGTTGCCAGTACAGAAAGTGCCTACTCAGGTTCATGTCGATCTATTAGCAAATAAGAAGTATGTTAATGCTCATTGCACAGCGTGATCCAGCAGCTCACATCAGTATAGAATCCCAGACCCTTTCTTGGACCTAAACGAGCTGGCCGTGCGATCACTTCCCGAAAAGCAATGGACATACAGAACACAGTTTGCTAAACCTATGGATTTGTCCTCCGAGGCACCGACCCATATAGATTTGGTGTTTGAAGGTCTTGACACTTTTGCAACAGTCTTGTTAAATGGTGCCGAGATTTTAAAGTCCGATAACATGTTCATTTCGCACCGGGTCGATGTGACCAGCCTCCTGAGAGACAAGAACGAGCTGGAAATCCATTTCGATTCAGCTATGCTCCGTGGTAGAGACTTAGTCAAGGAGCATTCTCACGAACATACTTTCTATGTGAGACAGACAGAAGTCAGCCGTGTGCCAGTGCGAAAAGCCCAGTGTGAGTGACACCTGAGTCTTTCGTCCCTTCTTGAGTCTATCTCAACGCTCAAAGTCTAAGGCCCTCCTCCGAGACCCCCAGAACTTAGAATAACTTGACTGACCATTTATAACTATAGACCATTGGGGTTGGGATTGGGGTCCCATTTTAATCACGGCTGGTCCCTGGAAACCCATCTACCTTCAGCAATATGTGTCTACAGTCGATGACGTTTGGTCTGAGTGTGAGGTCAATGAGGACTTGCGGACTTGTTCGGGTCGTATTATAGCCAAGGCATCCCAAGCAAGCGGCCAGTCAATCAGATTATCATTGTCATTGGCTGGGTCGGTCGTCTTTGAAAAAGAATGCACGATCAATTCGAAAGGCATTGCGGAAACACCCTTCCTAATCACTGACCCAAAGCTCTGGTACCCCTTCACGCACGGAACTCAAACTCGATATGAGTTGAAGGCCTCTCTAGGATCCTGTGATACGCTATCTAAGATGATTGGTTTCCGACGGGCTGAGCTTATTCAACGTGAAGATGAATTTGGCAAATCCTTCTTCTTCAGGATTAACGGCGAGGACGTATTTTGTGGCGGATCGTGCTGGATT